CGGAGAGCCGAGTCCTGTCCGCCCCCCGGCCGTCCACCGCGGCTAAAGTTTCGGTGCGAGATGCCGCGGGGTGCGACCAGAAGTCTGCGTCTCCCGGCGGGGCACGGGGCACCGACGGGATCTGTGTCCCGCCTCGGGACTGCTGTGGGGCCCGCGGTGCTCGGGGCTGAGTGGAATGAGTGTTCAGTAAACAGCCAGCACGGAGCGCAGCAATGGCTTCCAGGTCCGACTGGCCCTTCAAGGAAGTTGTGCTTCCAGCCTGGAGTGTCACCACAGGCGGTGATCCTGGCTGGAGCTTCTGGGCCCAGACGCTTGGGGATTTCGTTCTGAGGCGTCCCATTAACCTCCTTCTGGACTCTTGATCAATTTAAAAACGTCTCAAGACCCCAGGGGTTTGAGGGAGACACAGTAGGTTTCCTGAAGAGGATATGTGAAGTCTAAAATTTTACATTTTCTTGTCAAAAGATGTTTCTTCAGAGTTGGATGCATGGGCTTTATTGATTAATGAATGACTTAAATTGAGCAGCAAGATTTTCACTCAAGTACAAAAGACATGACTGGTAGACATATATTGATGGATATATTTAATATAATACATTTTGTTTTTATCATCAGGTATATATATGTATGTTAAAAGAGGCAGCTATCAAAAATCAACATTGGCCCAAGAAAGCGGTTATTTAATGTCAAATTGTGTCCCCTCGAAAATGTTCTATTTGACCTCCAGAGATTTCACTGGTTCCATCAACAATGGGGTTTAGAATGCATATGGTACTACAGAGTTCTCTGTGAATTTTTATCTTTGCTGAGCTCATGGCTAAAGCTATAGTCATCATAATATTCTTAACTAGTTGTCTAAGTAAAAGTAAAGTTGGAGGCTAACATTCATTGACAGCCTGCTTGCTATGTAGTAGGCTTTTACATGCCTTAATCTCATTTAATCCTTATAAGAAATCTTTGAGAAAGTCATTGTTGTCCACTATTTATAGACGTGAAGAAATCAAGGCTCATTTACATAACTTGGCTGATTTGGTAATAGTTACCAAAATTAGAAATGACCATAACCTTGAACCTAGCAGCTCTACTTCTAAGAATATATTCTGCTATCAGACCTGTAGAAGTGAGCAAAAAAAAAAAGTAAAGCATTGTTCTGTAATAACCCTGAACAGAAAGTAATCTATTTCCTTGCGAATATGACTGTTTCAATAAATATGGTATATCCATACAAATGAAATACTAGGAAGCCCATAAAAATCATAGTTTTTAAAGAAATATTAATAAAGGTAAAAAGAACATTATGTATAATATAGTCCATTTTTGTTAAAAATAGGAAAATAAGTTGTATATCCTAGGAAATCGCTGAAGAGATTTACCAGAGGCTATTGTCAGAATTTTTGAATATGCATATGTATTTATTTATTTACATAAACTCAACTTCTCTTAATTTTGTGATTTTCATTGTTTGCATGCTCTTTGTTCATCCTATCAATTTTATTTATTTTTATTTTGGTTTGGTTTTATATTACTTTATTTTAAAAACAAGTTTACATTTTAACAAACAACTAAACAAATATCTTGACTAAGAGTGCACACTGGTATATGGGAAAGCCAGGATTTGAACTTGGGTGATACTATAAATAATAAATTTTCCTTATTCTTTTAAATTTAAAAGCTGGATACAGCTCCCCGCAGCAGTTCAACCATGCATGTTTCCATAGGAGGGTACAAGTTCAGGGTCGCTCCTATGACCTCCATGGGAACATGCTTATTTGGCAAAGTTCTAGGGAACCAATCATCCTGGGCACTTGGCACCAAGAAAGCAGGAAGACCAGAGTCCAAGCTTTTCCAACGTGAACAATTTCCGTAGCCCTGGTTTCATTTTTAGATTAATCTAGGTGACACCAAACTCAGGATGACCAATGCAAATTAATATAAGTGTGTAAATAAAAGTGAAATCACTACCTATGTTACTGAGGTGGTAACAACATCGTGGGCATTGTTTTTTAGAGCCTGGAGGCGTAGTCACTGACACAGTCCTCACAGGAACCTGACCTCCAGCTTCACCTCACACCACTGACCCGGGGCTCTGCTCCAACCACACTGACCTCTCACTTCCTCCTGACTCCTGAGCATCACACTCTCTTCCATGGGGAGGACCAGGACTGGCTTTGGGGCATGTGACCTGTGCAGTCTTGCAGGGTCCCAGCCTCATTTTAATGCTCTGCTCTCACTGTCTTGAAATTCTTAATAGTTTTGAAGAAGGGGCCTCACATTTTCATTTTGCTCTGGGACTCTCAAATGTTCCTGAGATTGTTTGTCTGAAATACTTGCCACCCACCAACCATCCACTCCCCTCCAGCACTCCCACACGCCAGCTAACCTCCTACTCTTCCTTCACAGCTCCTCAGAACTGTCACAGCAGTTAAAATTCTTCAGGAACATCTTCCCTGTCCCCAGTCTAAAAGTTTTCACAGTACTGGTTTCCTTGCCATTGGAAACATGTCAGTCTGTAATTCATTAGAGTGACCATTTACCTGCCTCTCCTATCAGACTAAGTTAAGGAGAGGAGGCCCTATGCCTGCGTCTTGCACCTGCGTTTCACACCACACCAAGCTCAGAGTAAGCACCGCTAATACTTTGTGAAATGAATGAATAATAAATGGATGAGAGGAGTTGCAAATCAAAAATCTGCAGTCCAGCTTTTGCCTGAGTTTACTTTCAAGCAAGTCAGAGAATTCTGTGGAACACATTTGAAAACCATGGTCTATCATTACCTAAGTTTATGTGAAACATTGTACAATACAAGTTTTCTGCAAGTCTTATTATTCAATAATGTGTTTTTTTAAAAATACTCTGCAGAAGTGTTATTCCTCTAATGACATTTTATGAGGTAATGTTGATTTTGATTGGTACATTTGAAAATGAAACTGCTAAATTTAGCAATAGTTACTGGAGATATAGTGCCCAATTCATTATTAAAAATGCAATAAATAAAGATTTAATTATGTTCAAGGTAATACTCTTCAGTGTTACTTATCATTGAAGTGCACATCTCCTATATACTTTCTAGTTATTGGCTGGCATTTGCTTGTCTTGGAAGTAATTACGAAGTACATGGAATGATAAAATGGCAATCGTCTCATTTATAGGTGTAGAAACAAGACCAGGGTAGTTAAATGACTTACCCATGGCCACAAATTAAGCCAGAGCAGGGACGAGAGCCCATTCCCTTATCACCAGGTCTTCAAAACATATCATTTTCAAATTTAAAATATTTTAGATAAGAGGTTTGAAGGGAGTTTTGTGACAATCAGGACAAATGGGACCTAATTAAACTTAAAAGCTTTGCACTGCAAAGGAAACCAACAACAAAACAAAAAGACAACCTACAGAATGGAGAAAATATTTGCAAATGACATGGCCAATAAGGGATTAAAACGCAACATATATAAACAGCTCATACAACTCAACATTAAAAAAAACAAACAACTCAATTTAAAAATGGATAGAAGAACTGAATAGACCTTTCCAAAGAGGAAACACAGACGATCAACAGGCACAGGTAAAGATGCTCAACATTGCTAATCATCAGGGAAATGAAATCAAAACCACAACGAGATATCACCTCACACCTGTCAGAATGGCTGTCATCAAAAAGACTACAATTAACAAATGTTGGGAAAGATACGGAGAAAAGGGAACCCTCTTATACTGTTTGTGGGAATGTAAACTGGTGCAACTGCTGTGGAAAATGGTATGGAAATTTCTCAAAAAACTAGAAATAGAGCTACCATATGATCCAGCAATTCCACTCCTGGGTATATAGTGGAAAAAAACAAAAACAGTAATTGAAAAAGATACATGCACCCCAATGTTAACAGTAGCATTATTTCCAACTGCCGAGATATGGAAACAACCTAAATGTCCATCAACAGGTGAATGGATAAAGAAGATGTAGTATGTATACACAATGGAATACTACTCAGCCATAAAAAGAATGAAATTTTGCCATTTGCAGCAACACAGATGGACTTGGAGGGCATTATACTAAGTGAAGTAAGTCAGACAAAGACAAATACTGTATAATATCACTTATATGTGGAGTCTAAAAAATACAACAAACTAGTGAATGTAACAAAAAAGAAGCAGACTCATAGATACAGAGAACAAACTGGTGGTTACCAGTGGTGGGGGGGGCAATATAGGGGTGCGGGAGTGGGAGGTACAAACTGTTAGGTGTAAGACAGGCTCACGGATGTGTTGTACAGCATGAGGAATGCAGCCAACATTTTGTAATAACTGTAAATGGAAAGTAACCTTTCAAAATTGAATATGAAAAAAAAAATCACTGCTAAGAACTCCTGTCCTGAACTGTACTAGGAGCCACCCACCCACACCAGAAGGACAGAGAAAGCATGACATTCTTTCCTCTCATCTCACAAAGTCCAGCCACCCCGTGGAACAGGGGCTTCTCCCAAACTAGAAAGTGACTTCACTCAGGATCATCACGAATAGCCCCGGGCAAAGTTGGGAAGCAGGTCGTTTATCTTTTGCTTCCATTGATCACCCATTCATACCTCTTTCTTCCCTCCCATCCCCCTCCTTCCTTGACAGGCTTCCACAGAGGTGGCAACTTACATCTCCGCCCTCAGATGCCAGAGCCCTCATGTTGAGCCTGGCACATGCCAAGTTCAATTATTTCCTCTACTCCCATTGATGAGAACACAATTGATTGGTAAAGAAATTTGATTTGCATCTGCAGACCTCTGTTGGTTATTAGCAGATTGCAGTTTAAAAAGAAAAAAGAGCTGTAGCCAGAGCAACAGAGCCTCTCCGTTTGGGCTTTGCACTCTTTTTATTAAGCGGAGGGAAACGGGGAGATAAGGATTCCTAGGAAGCCTGTGCTAGTGACACAGCTGGCAGCGAGGTGGGGTGGGGGGGAATGGCCGTTAGCTCTTGCCCTGGGTTTGTTCAGCAACGCTTAAACCTCATGACTATACACTTCTGAACTGAAAGCCTTTTTAACTGCAGAAATTAACATTAACTTCCTTATTGCAACTGAGAAACTCTCTGGCCCCAAACTCATTTTTTCACACTGAAATGATAGTTTTTAAAAATCCGTCTTTTACAAACTTGAAAATTCTTAGATACAACTATGATGGTTCAGCAAAACACAGGTACGGTCCCCATCCCGTTTCCTTTCTCTCTGTTTTCCTCCTTTCTTCCTTAGGAGCAGACTTCCCCTTTTGACAGATCCAGCTTCTGTTAATTACAAACTGTGTGACCTTAGGTTCATTACTTCTCTCATCCTCAGTTTCCTGAACTGCAAAATGGGGATAATAGTAGTACTTACTACATGGGTTTGTTGTGTGGGTTAAACTAAATAATAAGCTCATAGACTTAGCAGAATAAGCACTCAATAAATATTAGTTATAAGTCTTCTTGTTTCTTTCTTTGGTCAAAATTAGATTGTCCTTATGTTCCAATAGTTGAGAGCCCAACTGAGTGCTAGGTCACGTGGAAAGGGAATGTTGCCTGTCATTCCAGGAAACAAAGAATGTTACCGCTATCAAGCCATTAGCCACTGCAGTTGCCCCAGCCCCCTTGAAGGTGCGCCCTGGGAGGAATTAAGGATGGAGAAAAGTGGGAAACATTCTATGGAGTAATTTCAATGAGTCCAGACTCTTGCATCTTCCCATACACAGAAAAGCACTAAAATCATTAACTTGAGATGTCTGGTTTTTGTGATTAGCAGTAATCTTTTGATGTTTAACTACATATTTTTTTTCCCAGCAAAAACTCCTATACATCCTGGGTCTTCCCTTACCTCTTTGGAGCAGTTCCTCAGAGCTATCAGAGGGGCTCTCTCCCAGGCTGTGGTTCTCAGTAAGGTCCTCAAATCAAACTTAACTTGCAACTTCCAGGTTGTGTGTTTTTCTTCAGTTGACAGTCAACTAATGTGAAACTAATGTGGGACTATGAAACTATGAAAAGTAATGTGAACAGGATGAAAATGTGATGGTCACCCATTGTACGTGGTGGGGGATGGGAAGAGGGGGAATAGTACGTACCCCTGAGGCAGCCTGGGTTCAGCACAAAGGTATTTTTTCATACACTTTATGAGTTAAGTGAACCTCAGGGGTGGCCTTGAACATAAACAGCAGAAACGGGTGCAGCAGGTGCCTTTCCAACCACAATGAATCTATTAAGTCCTCACCGTGTCCCTGGCACTGTTACAGGTGTCCGAGATAAAAGTCCCTGCTCCCTTAGAACTTGCAATCTGCAGAGGGTGGGGGAAGACAATAAACTACAAATAAGCATCCAACATGTCCGGTGCTTTAGCAAGTTCTTTGAAGAAAAACAAGCCAAACAAGCGTATAAAGAGAAGTGGGAGAGGTTCTTTTATAGAAGAAGGCTTCCCTTTGGTGTTATGATAGCCAATGATATGTCTTTAAATGTTTGGTTTTTTTAACTTATTTTTGCTGGTTGGCTAATTTGTTGGTTTAATCTTTGTTTCGTTTTGACTCAGTCACTTCTCTCTCTCCAATGCCTGGGAGACACAATCTATGTATAATAATGGGACATAGAGTTCATAACTGACGATTTAGTGGGAGTTGGATTGCTAGGATCTGAGCAGGCAGGAAGGGGCGGGAGGCAATGGTGGAGAGAGGCTGGGGGTTGGTGAGGCTGCACAGATGGCCGGGATGGCACAGGCAGCCAGGGTTGGGCTGCAGCAGGGACTGTTTGCTCCGGGTTCCATAAAAGACTGTTTGCTCAGTTTGGGTGGTCCTGATTCCCAGAAGGAAGGCTGGGATAGGAGATTGAAATCAGGGTAGGAAAGGCAAGATTGGCTAACCAATTGGCTTCCAAAATGAGCTCCCAGCCTCCAGGATCACTGACGTCCCCTAAAACTTTACCCTAGGATTTTGCTTTGATTCTCTGACCTGTTATGGACAGACTCTGGTGTGAGTTCTCAGAAACAGATTTACACTCAGTGTCTGGGCACAAAGTGAACAGTGGTGGGAGTAGGAATAGTGGCAAAGGACTTCTTGCTAGCTTATGTGTCACTGCTCAAGTCACAGGCTGTGGAGAGTTACTTTTAAAGCTGAAGTCCCACTGACCATGCCAGCTACACAAACACAGGTTCCTATATTCCTTCTTTGGGAAAGGCAATTCTGGAGACAGTGGTTGTGAAACACAAGTGCAGGACATTCGCCACTACCGCCCTGACTTACAGTTGGAAACTGTGATTTATAACCTCTGTCCCTTGGGGTCCTATTCTCCCTGAAGCCTTTGGTCAGAAAAGCCACCCACTGCTGAGTGCTGAATGTGAACAGGTGGCCCTGGACTTGAAGTCCTCGGCTTGACACTCATTTCTGCTGCTTACTCTCTGTGTGAATTCGAGCAGGTTATTTAATCTTTTTTTTTCTGTTCTCTTTTTTTTTAACATTTTTTTATTGATTTATAATCATTTTACAATGTTGTGTCAAATTCCAGTGTTCAGCACAATTTTTCAGTCATTCATGGACATAAACACACACTCATTGTCACGCAGGTTATTTAATCTTGATCCTCAATTTTCTTTTATACTGATGCTGCCCTGAGGCTTACTTAGAAGATTCAGGGAAACAGATATCAATAACTATATGCTTGGTGGGCTTCACTCCTCGGTGCCAATTTCTTATTGTGGTTCTCAGATCTGTAACAAATTTCCTAGGAAGCTGACCCATGTGATGTGAGTGATTGTTTTATCACTCACATCCAGTATCTGTCTCTGTTCACTCCTATGGCATTTCTGTCTTCTTTTCCTTCCCAGTCATTCTTCTCTGTCTTCAGTGTTCTTTCTTCATCCTCATTGTATTTCATTTCAGTCACTTGGTATATTTAATCTCTCAGTGTGTCTCACATCTGTACTCTGGTTTCTCATAATTTTTACAGCACCTCAGCCATTCTTCTGCTTCTTAAGATCATTAAACCTTTGCTTAAGTCAGGAAATGTCAAAATGCAAAATATTCTTTTAAGCAAATAAATGCATAGAAACTCACAATTCTTACAAACGCAAGCTCTGCATTAGTTTCAAAATATGTAACCAGTTTAATGTTATGCTTTGTAGAAATGGAGATATTCCAAGCTTGATTTTTTTTAAGTATTAAATAAGTAACTGTTCACATGTGATCCTTATAAACAGTCACTATCTCCCAGTTATCTGTCCATGACAACGTTTGTAGAATAACAGTGTGGTTTTCAGTTGGCAATTGTTAGGTTGTTGACTGGATTTATGTACACAAAAGGCCCAGCCCAGTGCTTGGCACACACTAGGTGTTCAAAAACAGTGGCTCTTTTTCGAGCTAGTTCGGTCTATTGGCTGCATTTATTTCACTCACAAAACATTTATTGAGAGCTGTGTGCAAAGAGCTATGGTAGATAAGCTCAAAGTCATGAAAAATGCATTTTGTGCTCCCTTAGAATTTGAAATATCACAAGTGGTGTCACACTCAGAGGCCCTGTGACAGTCCTGGCTGTCTGTTCACTCTCACTAAATACATGTCCTCTGCTCCTTCCTAGAAACCAAAGTCTCATGCTATCGCCATGAGAACCACTGGGAAAAATGCTTGTGTTTTAGAGAACTTGTGGTTTCAGAAGTAAGAAGAGGGGAAAAGCTGTGAAAAGCAGAACAGTTTAGGGGAGTCAGTCAAACCACACCGCTCTGATATCAAACTCCAACACGCTCCCCCTGGGGCTGCTGTGCTTTCCAATCCATCCCCTGCCTCAGGTGTCTCCCACTGAAATGGGACAATGAGGGACTAATTTAGCATGTTCTCTTAAAAATGTAATTTTTTTTTTAGAGGATTAAGGAAATATTGGTACCTTATACAAAGCCAAGGTTAACAAATTCCAGTAGACGGAATTCATTTAAATGAAGAAGTGAATGATTTTGTAACATGGTTACTTAACTCTGTTAGAAATCAGATACCTGCGCTCTGAGCAGGGCAGGGTCAGCTAAAACAGAGATCCAAGTTCTTTCTCAGTGGGCTTGTCTACGTAAGTTTCAGTTCCCAGATCAAAATGAAAATGTTAAAAAATGATTAAGAATTTCGAAAGAAGAAATTAGATCCTTATTTTACAGCATAAACAAAAATTAACTCAAAATGGAGTAAAGACTTATATGTGAGACCTGAAACCGTAAAACTTCTAGAAGAAAACAAAGGGAGAAATCTCCTTGACGATGGTCTTGGCAGTGGTTTTTTTGGATACGACACCGAAAGCATAGGCAACAAAAGCAAAAATAAAGAACAGGGACTATATCAAACTGAAAAGCTCCGGACAGCAAAGGAAAGCATCAGCAAAATAAAAAGGCAACCTGTGGAACTAGAGAAAATATTTGCAAACCATATATATTTGATAAGGGGCTAGTATCCAAAATATATAAGGAACCCATATGACTCAATAGCAAAAACCCAAATAATCTGATTTAAAAATGGGCAATGTATCTAAATATACATTCTTCTAAAGAAGACATACAAGTGGCCAACAGGCTCATGAAAGTCTGTTCAACATTGCTAATCATCAAGGAAATTCAAATCAAAATCACAGTGAGACATCATCCCACAACTGTTTAGGATGGCTGCTATCAAAAAGATATCAATTCACAGATTAAGGTAATCCAGCATTCTCTAAGCAAAGTAAATACACAGGAAACAGTAATGAGCTACACTATGGTCTAAAAAACCAAAGATAATGAGAAAGACTTCAGAGACTTCAGAGGCCAAATAAGCAAGAAAAAGGATGACAGCTAAGGTCTCAACATAAATAAGACATATCAGTGAAGCACCAATTTTAAAGTGGTAAAGAAATCTCCTGTTAAAACAGAATTCTGTATCCAGCAGCAATACTGCTCCAGAATAAAGATTTCTTAAGAAAAGCTTAAGCTAAAACATTTTGTTAGAGATTTAAGTTAGAAAAAATAACAGAGTGACTTCTTAAGTCCAAAGGAAAATAATCCCAGATTGA